AGACGCCCAGACAGTCCAGATCCGTTGTCACTCTTGGCTAGTGATCGATTGGATTACAAGCCTAGCCAAGATTCTTTGGGCGGTCTGGACTGTTGTGTTGTCTTCATTCGTTTGGTAGGCTTGACTGTACAGTGTACGGCGGTTCTTCAGACACAGTACAATACTACCAACTCTGCCTTGTACAGATACCGTATCGAGTCCAATAATGCGGCACATCCGATAAAGAGACCAATTTCCAACGCCCACCCAAGATATTGCTAATGTCTTACCCAGACTCCATACGAGACATCCACCACATTCCCCATTCCAACCCCAATAACGTCCTGAAGAAACCTCATCAATAATTCAAGCCAATCAAGACACTATCACACCAACCGCCAGACTAGCGAGCGCAAAATATTTAAGTCACTAATTCAGCCTGATTCAGGAGAGCCGGCGCTACCTAGCTCCAATAAAACAGTCCATAGCCCTTCTCCACAAATGGCAGTAACCTGGGCCCCCCAGCATCCGTTGGGATCTACCCCGAAGAAAAGGGATCGCCAGTCTAGGAGATCCAGACTTTGACTGGATTGAGATCAGCAATCAATCATTGACAACTTGCTACACTACGTGTACGTGCACTTGAGAAGACTTCTACTGTAGAACATTCAAAATGCTACCGTGGCTCCATATATGTAAAATTACAGTTTCCGCAATTTACGTCCCTTGATCGCATACGTAGGCTGCAATGTTTATTTCTCTGGTAACGAACACACTAGGTTATGCTATACTCCGAGTAGAAGGTGGTTCGCGGACGAACACGCGGTCGGTGACTACTTGCCGAAAGAATTGGATATGAATTAATTAAATTGCTCGCGTCCATATTACAGTAGTCCATTGCTTGGATTGAGTTCTTGTCGGATGATCGGCAGCTCATTGGAGTGAGTTGATCGTCAGGGGTGAAAACAGCGCATAGTGTAGTGTGCGGGAGGAAGGAAACGGGATTAGAGGTTTGAATGTATAGGATTATATTCTTGAATATCTGATATTGATATGGTAGAATGACTAGAGATGCTATGGAGAGACATACTCTTGGCACCGTTGCCTCCGGGCATGCCGTATACCTATGGAGTCAATAAACAGTGGCCATACTAGGCAATACCGTATTGTGTTTTGATGAGATCGGCAGGGCGGAAATTGAAGGTACACAACCAGCCAATCAGATGCCAGGATCTATCCAAGTTTAGCTTGAATCTTTCCTATTCAAGACTGGCCGAGGACGCTATGACATACAGCCCCACATGGCGTGGGAGGAGATTTCCAGTTTCCTTTCCGTCTTGAGGGCAACCCAACTCTGCAGTGAGACTGTATGGCGGGCACTCAGCTCCACAGCCTCTAGACCTGTCCAGAGACATTCATCTTAGGGAAATGAACAACCGAACATTCTAGGGTTTTAGGGCACTTGAGGATGGGTTTGCCACTGCCCAGGCGCACTGTAAGCCACAACGGGGGTACCTTACATATGTCTGACAGGGACTCGTGTAACCCGGTGGCTTGAAAGAAGTTAGGAGTATCTGGGGGAAGGCCCTCGCAGCGGTAAGGGGGCTGTGAGACAAGGCTATTTTGGATGTAAGACCGGTGAAAAGGAAATGATCCGTGCGGATATAATAATAACAAAAGCAATAATAGTAGTGAAAGTGAAGACACGGAGTACAGAATACAGGCCATGTAAGTGTACAACGCACAAGGTACATTTGCATGGTGGAAATGAGCGTTGGGCGAGATCGTAACATCCTATACACCGTCCAAGATATTCAATATACAGTATACAAGTACGCAAGAGTAAACTAAACGTATGTAACAATCCACTCTGCCCGACCCGTGCGGGCCAACCATAAGCAACAAACAGTTGGGTCTGCAGCAGTAAGCCAATCACATACTGTTCGTTCCTGAAAACACATCTAGACCCCAGGGGTAATTTTACGAATTTCACGAAATCCCGGCCTTTTTATGGTCTTTTCTCCCCTTTTCTCACTTCTCCCCCTAACCGCCTTTTCTCCATCAAAAGGCCCTTGCCCCCTCAACTTCCTTTCCTTTTGCTACCCACGTTCCTTGATATCACTGACCACCGCTTCACTCGTTCAGCGGGCATTCATTCTTTCTGTGTGGGCATTGAAATTCCAACATGAAGGGATCTCTTTTCGCCGCCGCCGCCATGGTGGGCTCTGCCATGGCTGACGGTGTTCACCGTCGCCATGATGCTTTCCACCAGCGTCGCGACGCTTCGTCCAGCATCTGGTCCTCCAGCGTCACCGCTAGCCCCTCTACCCCTGCTCTGGCTGAGGAGACCTGCGGCTGCACCACCAAGGTCATCACCTTCTACGGCTCGCCTACTCTGGTTCCTATCTCGACCGCTACGCCTACTCCCACCCCGGAGTCGACCAGCACTCTCACCAGCACTGTGCACTCTACCAGCACTAGCACACTGACTGTGACTGTCTCTCCCTCTTCCTCTTCCTCCGTGGCCCCGATCCCTGAGTCGACCAGCACCGTCGTCGTCCTGCCCACCCCCGGTGTCAGCACTTTCCCCTCCACTGGCACCTACACCATCCCGGCCACCACCATCACCGTGACCGACAGCACCACTGTTTGCGGTGCTACCTCCACTGAGGTCCCCAGCGGTACTCACACCTACGGCGGTGTTACCACCATTGTCGAGACCGCTACCACCGTCACCTGCCCCTACGCCACTGTCAAGCCCACCGGCAGCACCGTGACCAGCGTCATTGAGACCACCACCTATGTCTGCCCCTCGGCTGGTACTTACACCGTTGTGCCCCCTACCACCACCACTGTGCCCACCAGCACTGTCTTGGTCTACCCCACCCCCCAGACCGTCACCCCCGGCACCTACACCCAGCCCGAGACCACCGTGACCGTCACCCGCACCGACTACACCTATGTGTGCCCCTTCGCCACCCCTACTCTGGCCTCCACCACTGCCCCCGCTCCCGTCACCACCACTGCTGCCGCTACCACCACCGCTGCTCCCGTTGAGTCCACCACCAGCGCTGCTGCGACCAGCACCCCCACCTCCGGCTCCGGCCTCACTGGTGAGGGCCAGTACGGTATGACCTACTCTCCCTACACCGAGAACGGCAACTGCAAGACCAAGCAGGAGGTCCTCAAGGACATCCAGGTCATCAAGCAGAAGGGCTTCAACCTGGTCCGTGTCTACTCCAGCGACTGCAGCGGTCTCGAGTTCATCGGTGAGGCCTGCAAGGAGCTCGGCCTCAACATGATCGTCGGTGTCTACATCGACTCCACCGGCACCTCCGGCGCCCAGGAGCAGGTCCAGGCCATCGCCAAGTGGGCCCAGTGGTCCATGGTCGAGCTGATCGTCGTCGGTAACGAGGCCATCCAGAGCGGCTACTGTGACGCCGGTAGCCTGGCCTCCTTCATCGCCTCCGCCAAGTCTACCTTCAAGGCCGCCGGCTACACTGGCCAGGTCACCACCACCGAGCCCATCAACGTCTGGCAGCAGTATGGCGCCTCCGCCCTCTGCTCCGCCGTCGACCTCGTCGGTGCTAACATCCACCCCTTCTTCAACGCCGAGGTCACCGCCGAGAAGGCCGGTGAGTTCGTCGCTCAAGAGTTCAAGGTCCTCGAGCAGATCTGCTCCGGAAAGGACGTTGTCAACCTCGAGACTGGCTGGCCCAACGCCGGTCAGTCCAACGGTGCCGCTATTCCCGGTGTGTCTGAGCAGGCTGCCGCCGTCAAGTCCATCGCCAAGGCCGTCGGTTCCAAGTCTATCTTCTTCTCCTACTCCAACGACCTCTGGAAGTCCCCGGGTGCCTTCGACGTTGAGCAGCACTGGGGCTGCGCTGACGTCTTCTAAGCGTCACGTCTGAACGTTTGATTTGTTTTGGTCATTTTTTTTCTTTTCTGCAAAACTTGTACAGGAGGATAAGGAGTTTCAACCTTTACTCTCTCATTTGGTGTTGTCTATAGTCTGCGGATTATGGCGGGCCAAATTTCATTTCTTGGTTTCTATTTTTAAACTTTGTCCTGTTTTTAGTAGATACTCCTTTTATTTGATGTTGTCTACTGACCTGGTTGTGCCGACCCTTGTCTCTTTGTTCTTATGCTTTTAGTGTGTATATTGTTATTGATGTCTTCTTATGAGTTTCCCAGTAGCCAAGTAGTTCACCGCACATTCATGTTATATTGGCCTTGTACTTTGCCTTTTGTGCCTCGGCCCTACTTGTCAGGATCAAGTGTCTCAAGTACATGTACATCTGCCGCGTCGTTATTGTAAAAATGGTTTATTCTACTTCGAGTCGTAGATACGTGAAGTCCGCTTCCAAACCTTGACCTGCTGCACTCCGGAAGACCGTCCTTCTGTAGATGAATACTATAGAACTATTCCATTCCATGTCAACCTAACCCTTTTAAGGGATCACGACTAGCGTCAAGAACACCTTGGTGACCCAAATCAAGATCCCCACATTGGTATCGAAATGCCCAGGTAGGGGTACATGTACTCTCCATTGCCATTTAATATCAATCCTTCTACATCCAACACGCAACCCATGCTCGTATTATAATTATTTCAATATCAAGTTCCAGCTTGATAAGCCAGTGCTGCCTACAGCAAAACCGGAATTGATGCTATACAGATGTGAGATCACGATCATGGACCTTGACACTCTTTATAACATCATGCTGCGTTCGGTCATTTTTGTCCAGCGTCAGATATTCACCACACCTGTTCCTTCTCTTACACAATAAATGGAGATGACCATCAAACCTCTCATGGATACCCACCAAATCACAGCGCAAACCTTTCGTAAAAGTAGCAGGGGACTGATATTAAGAAATATGTACCATTAACCTGTTGATAAATACAATAGAAAACAACACATCCGTCCGACGATATGTATATCAGCCAACCCAAGAAAGGGTATCATCATGTCCAGAGTTAACCAACCATGCCGCAGTCATATCCAATATAGAGCTTCTTACAGCCGAGTGCAAGTCTGCGACATTAGTTAGCCCAGTCCCTAAGAACAACAAGTAACGAGAAATCCAAATACTGACACCATTGGAAGCACAAGTAAGTCCCTCACAGCAACACCCCTCAATACCACAGTTATCAGCAGTACAAGCCATGGTTTCCTACAACAGAGCGAGCAAAGTTAGCAATCGTCCCTGGTACATCCATCCATATATTCTCATCGACCGGATAAACACAAACTCACAGATTGACACGCAGTTTGAACCTTAGGCAATGCCTCAGGGAGAGCGACAGTGAGAGTAGCAAGGAAACCAAGAATAATAACCGAAGCGCGCATTCTGATTCGAATCGGTGAAGAAGAAATGGGACTGCGGTAGAAATGGAACAACGGTCGGTATCTGAGATGTGAGAGTGAAAGTGAGCGACCGAGCCAGATATAAAAATAGAAATAAATTGCAGAGGGGGATAAAAGTCATGTATGGATATGCATGTGCAGTTTCGGATTAATGTAAGGGCAAAGGAACGGTGTGCGGCATACGAACCTTGATTGTTGATCGTTAGTACACGAGGAAATGTAGTAGTTGACAGCTATGGAATATCAGATCAATTAAAGAAATGCTACTCCGTAAATGTATGTCGGACCCATTCTAGTCTTATAGCTTTTGGTAAATGTGGAGAAGGGAATGACACAGGCCACGCACTGGGGAAAGGATCTATCATTGTGCCTGAAACTGGGCTGGAGGATCTGCAGGGGCGGTTTCGGGATCGGCGTTATACGTGAGGGCTGAGGCCTGCCAAGTTGTTGTTTTGCTCTATGGCGTGGTTGGATGAGGCTTGCGAGTGTGACACTGTTGCTTAGATTGCCTGATTAATTTAGTGAGTACTTGTAGTGGGAGTTTACTATAGTTCTCGATGTCTTCGTTGACAACTGCCTTGTCACTGGTGGGGATTGTGGCGGATACATACAATATCGACAATCCACTCGCTGACTTCATACAACGTCACGCAATTATCAATTAAGTGAAGCTGCACCTGATGCTTTTGAATGTACAGAGTATATCAAATCAATATTCAATGGCCATGTCTCGGAAATAGACAAGCATCCGATACCGAGCCCCGATCCAGTACATGGGGCCTGGACTGCAGCGGCTGGCGATGATACCAAGCCCTTGGCATGAGATATTGCAAAGGACGCACGGTGCAGTTGAGGTTGGTGCTTTGCAGTGGCACACGGAACTTGCGTTGGCTGCCTAGAGTGGGAGTGATGTTCTGGGAGGTGGGCCGTGAGAGCTAGGGGGTTGGGGCCATGGGGATGGGGGCGGGAGGTTGGAGTGTGGCGGGTTGGATTCACATCAGAAGTGAGGAACGTCGAGAAGAGTGACAGTCCAGATGATAAGTAGTGAGATGTTAAAAATTGCTTGAAACTTCCATGTTTAACGATGGTGGTCCAGATTGACACCTGGAATTTCAGGCCACAATAAACCTGCCTTAAGTTAGCCACCCAGGCCACAACTACAGTGTAGGTTAGAAATCATTGACATTGTGATAATCTACAGCGGCTTTCATGCAAGTTATTTAATCTACGGGGACCGCTGAACCGTAGAGTCGAGTCTTTGATAATGCACAAAAGACCCTTTTCATCTCGAAATGCAACAGCAGAAGTCGAAAGTCAATCGGGATTGGCAAATGTAATTGTTCTTCTGACATATAGCTTGAGAACTAGGGATTCTCGATTCACACATAGAATAATAGGCCATTGCCAATCCGAGTACACTACAACGTCGGTAAAAATAGCCAATTCATGTAAGTAGAATCAGTTCAAGTCCACACGATCTCAGCTGAAATAAGATCTCGGCCCAGCCTATCGGTCACAGTTATCAGTGAGAAAAGGTAGGTTTGCCCGAGTTGAAGTATTACGTAGGAAAGGTTGCGCCCAAAAGCCGAAGAAGAAGGAATAGCAACTGAAAACGCGCGCTCATACACCCATTCGTAGAGATTCAGAAACTAGGCTAAGCCACAAGAGCCACCTGGGTCAGCGAGCGATAACACATGGCAAACAAGCGCAGATATCTTAGTCATATATAAATATCGGATTTGATGCGGATTTAAGTATGCAGTTAACTGGCTAAACCAGAACGTCCACAGCAGACAGTGACACAGACATCACCGAAATAGATAAGAATAACCAGCTGATTGCATTGGCTGGCTTGGTATGCATGCTTATTCCGAGGTTGGTTACTATTGGTTAGTCGTTTCTTTCAGCTTGATGACAGCGGGGACACCGAGTGTGGCGCATCGGCATGATTGTCTTCAGGTGAAGTATGTGGAGCTGACTAGTATCCCAATTACGACAAACCCCGATGTAGGGAATGTACACGAGGTTTAGTTTTATCAGCAGTTTATTGCTATAAGAGCGAGGATGACCAAAGAGAATTGTAGTGTATCTATGATTATACGTATTTCACATTTCACAGTTCACCGAAGATACTTTGCTAGTATGATCACCAAATTCTTGCCTTCTTTGCAGCCTACTCTTTTGCAGGTTTATCTTGCTTGGGTCGATGCTTGGTTATCCATCTCGGATGGTCATTACAAGCCCACTGAGAAGATTGTCTGCTTGGATGAGATAGCTTCTCTATTCGAAGAGGAGAACCTGCACCAGTCGATAACTCACTCTCGCTTGGTACATGTCATCTACTCATTTCAACAACATGTCAAACACGGAAGCGTCCGATTCGGAGGCCTAAATCCACCATCCTGCGAAGAAATCAACCTCATATCAGAAACATACAACCCACAAGTCATCTGCAAATGCGAAACCACAAATCCAGTCAAGCAAACAAAACCCACATGCAACGCCCTCTTAACCATGCAAGACATCATGGAAAAAGTCATATCCCGAGAGAACGAATGGCACAGCACCGGCCTATTCACACCAACGAAACTCCGCCTCGCCGTCGACGAACTGATCAACTCAAACACAGACCTCCAGCCAGAATCTCACACTTGCCAAGGTGCATCCGCATCATCCCACATCCCAACAATCAAAGCCCCGGACCGCCGCCCAAACCCATCAGTTGATAGCAACCCCCGAATAACGAACCAAATCTACCAAACCGCCGAACAACTCAAAATCTGCACAGATGCAAAATACTTCGGTGTGATTGCCTGTGGTGCCAGCCTCTGCGATGAAGGTCTTGCGCGCGCAGTAGCAGATTCCTGCAACGACATCCTTATCGGCGATTACTGCGAAGCAGCGGATGAAAAGGGTCTCAAGCTACTCCAGCAAGTCGGCGCGGCAGCAGTGGCATTTTTGAAAGTCTGCAATCTGGCTGGTCGGGTTGGTGACTGGCAATTTGATAACCTGGCTGCTTATATTGTCCAATGTCGGGTTCTAGGGTATTACCGGGACCATGGCCGGTCTCGACTTCGCGATGGAGTTTACGGAAGTCGCATGACTGGGCTTGGGGTTCATCGGCATATTGATGTTGCTGCTTTTCATGGAGTTATGACTGCTTCGTTGGGGACGGGGATGGTCATTGATGAGGGGCAGTATGCGAGTATTGTGGAGGCGGTGGTTTTTGTTAATGATTTTGTGGATATTCGCGGTGATACTATGCGAAAGCAACGGGAGAATGTTATTCTTCGGGGATTGCGGGGGAATCTTTGTCGGTACCTTGATCGGTCTATTGGGGAGTGTTTGGATGTTGTTGCTGATGTTGTTGAGGCGAGTGAAATTGGGGCTTTGGTTGTTATGGGTTATTGTAATTGGGCTATTATGTCGTCTCATCACAAGGTGTATGAGTTGGTTAAGGGGGTTCGGCCTGTTCGGAAGTATGGGTATTGTGAGTATACTTCTGTTGCGGATAATGCGCGGTATGAACGGTTGATTGAGGCGTTGCGACCATATGGTACACTTGGCAGTGATGGACCCAGTGTATTGAAGGAGAGGATTGAGATGGATAAGACCTATGATGTCTGTCGACAGTCACCCGAGTTGCATCTATCGTGGCTTGCTGATGCCGCCCGGAGTTTGTTGGAGCCGGCGACGTTGAGGCAGATTGTGGATGTGGTACATTTTGAGTGGAGCGGCGATGTGGGAGCTGTCGATTATTGCCCTTAAACATTGTAGACCGACTATATAGATATATGAACGAATCGATGATTTTCAAGCTTCAAAAGAATGGATCGGTGACTAAGTAGGGCAGTCCACGGATATGAGGAAATTCTTCGGCGCCACTCCACCCTCTTCTTCTTTTACCCCAGATCCCCAGATTTCAGAACAGAAAAAAGAAACATGGAAGAACCAACTCCAATATTAGAAGCCCGACTTCCTGAGACCTTCACTCCAATTGAAGAAGACTTTCTATCACCGGGCACATTCTCCAGCGCCGATGAATACGCAGCCAACCCCAGATTTCTAGAACTACAAGAAGAACTCCGCGGCGTCCTCTTCTCAGCAGTAGCAAGTCTCGAACCATCAAACTACACCCCAATCCCTCAACCAAGCGAACCACAACGCACACGACAAAGCCTAGATTTCACACGAGTGATATCAATCCCCAAAGTTCGCCTAATCTTCTACCTCAAAAACTGGATCACAGAATGCGCCCCGTACCTCGACAAATTCGACGAAGCCCGCCACTTCGGCGTGCACATCCCAATTCTAGCACAAGGCTCACCAGCCCTCTTCTACGCCATTCTCGCCTTCTCAGCCCGCCAAACAGAGCGCAAAGCATGTCTCGACAAAGCATACGACAGCCTCGAGCTTTACCAAGAATCAATCCGCCTCCTAGCTCCATGTCTCCAAGCGAAAGATCCAAACGTCCTCGTGACAGTCTGCATCTTAGCAGTCATGGAACTAATGTCCGTCAGTCCCCGCGACTGGCGACGCCACGTAGAAGGCTGCGCAGCCCTCTTCGAATCATTCAACGTAACCGGCCTCTCAGGCGGCCACCTCCAAGCCGTATTCTGGTGCTACGCCCGCATGGAATTATGCGGAGCGATCATCTCCAACGGCGCAGAAAGCACAGTCCTCCCGCTGGACAAATGGGTCCCAGCAATTCCAGCCAAAAGCGCCGAAGAAAAAGAATCCCGCATCCGCGATCTCTTCCGTGAACAGGGCCACGTCTCACCTGATATGCACGCCAACTGGGCCGTCTACCTCTGTGCCAAAACATGCGACCTCTCGAGTCGGCGCACGCGTTTCCTTGAATTAGGCGAGATATCTTCTGACCCGCGTCCATTCCCCGAACAATGGACCCGCCTCTGGGATGAATTACATTACTGGCTCGACCAACGACCACCAGCTATGCTCCCCATAAAAACAACAGGTATGGGGTCTGGCCAGATATTCCCGGAAATCCTATTCGCGCACTGGGCCGCGATCTCTGGGAACCAGTTATACCACGCGGCTTGTATAATGATGCTTGATATGAGGCCTGTAGAGCGAGGTCCGGTGGCAGCGTCTAAGCCGTATTTCTCGGCGATTTGGCATGCGCGTCGTGTGTGTGGGATTTCATTGACGAATCCTCACAGTGGGAATTTGATTAATGCTATTCAGCCGCTTTATATTGCGGGCAAGTTGCTCAGTCATCGCAGTGAGCATGTTGAGGTTGCGAAGCTTTTTAAGATTATTGAGAGGACGACTGGGTGGGGGGCTTTGTGGAGACTTAGGGATCTTGAGAGGGCTTGGGGGTATGAGACTGGGGAGATTTTGGGTGTTATTTAGATTATGTCTTGAATAGATGTGGTGTACATTGTATTCTGACTATTTGGTCTAATCTAAATGGCAATCTATATCTTAGCCACACATGGATATTTGCAAAATTTAGAGCGAGGGACCAAGTTTCAACCCTTTACTGCAAATCAGCACAAGACTTGGGATATTGCAAAGCATGCTTAATCCGCTGCTTAAGTCTATCGGCATCAACCTCAAAGACATAGTTCACCTCACGGATGCCCTGAGGCGCGAGAGCCTTCTGGTAAACATGGATATTGCCGTAGTTGGGGCTTCCGTAGGAGGTATCGACATCCAAGAACACTAAACAGGCAATTATTAGCCTCGTGACATTTCCTAGAGTCCCTTATAAGGTTTTGACATACCTGAAGTTTGGTTGACGGAAATCGTAGGATCAACCATCAACGCAGCAGCCGTTTCATCCCAGAATGGGAACGAGAGATCGTAGTACTTGTTGAAGAGCTCGCTGTATGGATTCGGCACCGAAAGTACCTCCTCCTTGAACTCCTTCGTGGGGAAGACCTGATTAGCGACATTACCAGCGATGGTAATGTTAGGGAAATCAGCAGTCAAGGCGATCTTCGATGCTTCGGGGTCGATCATGAGGTTGATCTATAGACGGATCAGCGGAGAAACAAACCACCTGGGAAATAATTCTTACATCAGATTGGTAATCAGCAAGCATAATACTTCCCGTCGCCTCAAGCATATTCAAATCAACATATCCGCCCATAATAACAAGATCCTTAGCAAGCGACGCGAACATCGGATCCATACGCACTGCCAGCGCGATATTCGTCAATGCTCCGGCCGAGTAGATAGATACCTGGCCAGGATACTTGTGAACCATCTCGACCATAAAGTTCGCCGCGGATGTCGAGTTCTCCGGTCGGCCTTTAGGGAATCCCTCCTTGAACGCCTCCTTGACAATGCGATTGGGGTCGCCGGAGGTGGGATCATTGCCCTCGGCTTCAAGGGTCTTGTTCTCGGGCGCGAAGGCGCCTTCCCAGGGGAGTTTGCCGTGGATTGTTTCCCATGCTTGGAACCGTTGTGGTGTGTTTATGAGTGGCCATGTGGCGCCTGCGTAGACGGGGATGCAGCTTAGGTTTCCTGCTTCTAGGGTTGCCACGGCGTGGAGGGCGCCTTGGGCTTGCCAGCTGTTTGCCGTGTCTGGGATTGTGTCAGTGGTGGTCTGATACTGTGAAAGTTGATGTATAGTGTACTGTACTCACCTGAGGCCAGGCCTAGAATTTCCACATCGCCGTCTAGGGCAATCAGGTACGGAACAAAACCCGCTGTATACCAATCATTGTCCATGATGGCATAGTGCTTATCCGCCTGCAGAGCTGCAAGCCCGCCTGTCACCAAGCAGAGTAGCGGAGCCGACCAATGCATGTTCACTTTGGGATGTAGGGTATGCTTGCCGAATGCAGATGTCCCTGAATATACTCAATTTCAATGCCAGACATCTTCTCTCGACCTTTTATACTGAATACCATCGCGGCCCCAGCTTTCCCCGACAGTGCGGCCCATTCCGAAGAGTAATGCTTGGACGATCTCGGGTTCCCCAGTGTTGATCTGCTTGGACTTAGCCAAATCGGCGAGACAAAGGCTCTGATTTCCTCAATTGGAGTTAACCCCACACTCTGTAAAGCCAGAGAATAGGGCGCCGACCGAGACATATCATGTGAAGCCAGTGTGGGCTCAGCCATGCAGGGTTTGTGGAGTTGGGGAATTCCGAGATTTCCACTCTTTTCCGTCTGAGAGGCCGACGTTAGCCGAATCGGGAGGTCGTAGGCTACGAATCGCCCTATTTGGCTTAGCGGTCGGGATTCTCCACGTTTTGCCTCCACAAAATGTTTGGGGTTCCGGGGGAATTTTGCGTTGCAGCGAGTCGGGACGCCGAGATGAGAGTTTTTTTACTCACGTGGCGCCACTTTGAGAACTTAAGCAAATTCAGGTGTAGAGTGACTGAGATGAGGTGAAAAGTGAGTATATATGGGGCCCCATTTCCCCCGTGTTTTCCTTTCCCCACGTTTGAGATTTGTGACTTGAGACTTCACCTTGAGAGACTTGACTCAATTGCCCATCATGGATGTCATCGCTAAGAAGTCCATGTGGCAGTCCATCTTCGAGAACCCCAAAGTCCTCTTCATCGCTTTCTTCGCCTCGTAAGTCCTCACCAACCCCACTACGAACAACACTAACCTCCCCAGATTCGGTGGTTTCGAATATGGCTACCAACAAGGTGTCCTGGGCCAATCCCTGGTGATGACCCGGTTCACAGAGAACTTCCCAACAGTCGTGGCCTCCTCAACAGCAACGGGCTGGCTCACCTCCGTCCTCCAACTGGGCGGTATCGTTGGCTCCCTATCAGCCGGTATCCTAGGCGAGATCTACTCGCGCAAGTACACTATGTTCTTCGCCTGTTGCTGGGTTATCCTCGGCAGCTACCTGTACGTCGGCGCAACAGCCGGCAACCCGTCCCTGCTCTACGCCGGCCGATTCTTCACCGGATTGGGTGTTGGCTTGTTCAGCGGTGTCGGTCCTCTCTACAACGCCGAACTGGCAGCGCCTGAGATGCGCGGTCTGCTCGTTTCTTTCTACCAGTTCGCGACCATTCTCGGAATTATGATTTCTTTCTGGGTCGGGTATGGAAGTAACAATATTGGCGGGACGGGCGCGACTCAGTCTGATCTCGCTTGGCGCTTGCCTTCTATTATTCAGGGTATTCCTGCTGTCGCATTGGCCTGTGGTATCTGGTTTATGCCATTCTCGCCCCGCTGGCTTGTGAAGCAGGGCCGTGATCAGGAGGCTCAGCAGACTTTGGCATGGATGCGCAAGGTTCCTGTTGAGCATGAGCTCGTCCAAGTTGAATACCTTGAGATTAAGGCTGAGGCTGTCTTTGAGGAGCGCGCTTTTGCGAAGGCTTCGCCTAAGCTTGCGGATAGGGAGAAGAAGAGTATTTTCATGAACCAGATTGCGCAGTATGCCAATTGCTTCCGCACTATGGATAACTTCAAGCGGGTTTGTATTGCTTGGTTGGTTATGTTCTTCCAGCAGTGGAGTGGTATTGATGCTAGTAAGTTGGTTGATCTGGTTTGGTTGTTCTTTGCTAATGTTGGTTTCAGTCATCTACTATGCGTCCAATGTGTTTGTTAGTCTCGGTCTCACTGGTGGTACTATTGCTCTGTTGGCGACTGGTGTGACCGGTGTCGTTTTCATCATCAGCACAGTTCCTGGAATGGTACGTCAACAATCCAAGAGGATATGAACCATTGCTAACAATACCAGTTGGTCATCGATAAAATCGGTCGCAAGCCCATGCTCTTGGGTGGCTCCATCGTCATGTTCTGCAGCATGGTGATTGTGGGCGTGATTGTCGCTAAATTCCAGCATGACTGGCCCGGCCATGTCGCCGCCGGCTGGACAGCAGTTGGTAAGTAAATTCCATGCGACCATTCGTCCACAGGATCTGACAAACTCGCAGCTCTAATCTGGCTATACATTGCTGGCTTCGGCGCAACCTGGGGCCCCGTCTCATGGACCCTTGTCTCAGAAATCTTCCCCCTCTCAATTCGCGCCAAGGGAGCATCAATCGGCGCGTTCAGCAACTGGATCAACAACTTCGCCATCGCCTTCTTCGTACCGCCCATGCTTCAATCCTGGGAATGGGGCACTTACATCTTCTTCGCGGGATTCCTCCTGGTCGGCATCGTTTGGGTCTGGTTCTTCCTGCCCGAAACCAAGGGAGCAACCCTGGAAGAAATGGACCGCGTCTTCAAGAGTAACGCCGGCGAGGCAGACGCGGAACTCCTCCGCGAGGCTCAGCGCGATGTTGGCCTGACCGACTTTATTGCGCGCATGGGATCCGCTACTGGCCGCGATCTGGAGAAGATGGAGGGGTCGCAGTATATTGAGAAGCTTTAGAGCTTTTAATTAATGGAAGTAGCTATTCAAGCAATCGGCATAGCTTTAGTGATACCAAAAATGCAAGTAATGAATGATGTTCCGCACTTCACCTCCAACCTCAACTTCAATCTCGTCATAGTTCCCCATATATCCAAACCCACACATCAACCCCATCATAAATCTCGGAACGTCGGGTGGCGTCTAAACCCATCTCCATCTCCATCTCCATAAACTACCTCATTAGGCCAAAAGGCAGAGAAAACTCTTCGGATCGTCAACCCGATATAATCCCCACACTCGGCTCGACTCTCCCCATTGGTGGCGCCCGCCAAAGCCAAATCACGGCCATCTCCGAATCAAGAACTGCGGAGCCTCCACTCCCTTCTTTTCTCTCGACGGTGTCTACATGTATACATCAAAATGCCCAGAAAACCCACGCCGGCAGCCAAGCAGCGCGTGAGGACGGGTTGTTTGACGTGTCGCAGGCGCAGAAGAAAATGTACGTGTCACGTGCTTGGACGTTCCGGTGATGGTACTCCATGATACTCGATACTGACGCTGTTTCTGTAGGTGATGAGCAGAAGCCCAGATGTGCGAATTGTGAGGTAAAGGGATTTGCTTGTAAATATGGAGCTGATTTGGCGTTTGTTTCGCCGAGGGCTGGTCTTGCGCATGGGTCGGGGTTGGGGCAGGGGTATAGCTCTATCACGGTATGCTATTCCAGTTTCCAAGCTGAACCAGAAGTATTTGACGAACAGTGTGCTGACCTTGTATAGTTTGTTGATGACTCGCCTCTTGCAGCTGGGAGTAAAGAAAAATCGAAGGAGCAGCAGCCTCCACCAGATGAGGCACAGAACAATCCTGCGTTCGCTGATGGTCTGCAGTCATCAGTTGGAAGCCATGATGACACGGGAGATGGTCGGGCTTTTGAATTTCAAAGCATTTTATCGGCCGACGTGCCGAGTGTTGATTTCTCAGAACCTCCAATTCCATATATTGGAAGACGGAGCACGCCAGATGCCCGGTTCATGACTAGTCCTCCCTACTTTAGACATGTGGGTTCTGTTCCTAGTTCACAGACAATTGAGCGCCGGGGGCTACTCGCAAATGGAAGCCAAGAAACCGATCTGCTGCGACATTTCCGTTATCATGTTGGTCCGTGGATTGACACCGGAGATCCTGAGCTCCCATTCGGACTTCAAGTGTTGCTACTTTCGCGGACGAATCGGGCTTTACAAGCTGCGGTGCTTTCCCTCTCTGCTGGTCAGAGACTGCTTCTGCCATTTGCGACCAGTGAGGATGTTGAGAATAGTCGGCAGTTCCGGAAAGAGGCGAAAGAGAGTCTTGCGGTCGAGTCTGATTTGGCTAGACATGCTGGTCAAACACTCTTGATGCTTCAAGACGTTTTGCCTGCTGGACCACAGCAGTGGAGGAATATTCTTATGCACAGCATAGAACAAGGATGTGACTTTTCATCGCAGGCTGGTCTGGGAGAAGAGGTTGGAGAGGCGTTGTTATGGCTTTACTTTCGACTCGGTATGTGGGAGACTTGTACCAAACATAGTATCAGCTAACTCACCACTGTTTTGTTATAGATCTCGCAGGCTGCATCTCGTCTTCCAAGCCACCGCTCATTCCTTTTCGATCATTACTGCGGCGCGACGGTACATTAATACACCACCCACAATCTCAAATCCAGCCCCAAACCGTCAACCGTGCATACAAAAATATTCTATGTCTACTCGGACATTGCTTGTCTCTGATATACGGAGACCCCGAAATGCCGTCTCCGCATGCAACGGCCCCAGAACTCGCATTCCCCTCACTCCGACAATCACATTTCCTCTCCCAATGGACCTTCCTCTGGACAGACTGTCAGAAATGGTACAACGAGCGCCCAGAAGATGTCCAGCAGATTGTGGATATTCGAGGTGGAGAGGCCGATCAAATCGATCCTGATCACAACTCGTCCTTCCCGATTCTTATCTACACGACGCCAATGGCGCTGGTCGCTAATGCTGTCTACCATATTACCTCTCTGCTACTATTGACGCACAAACCGCGGCTTTTGAAATCCCTTCCAGGTGCTAGGTGTTACACCTCGCATATTTGGCATGCACAGTCGATAGCTGGGATTGCAGCAAGCAATGATTCCCCGGAGCAATGGGACCCGATTTTAATTGCGGGTCTTCTCACTATTGCCCGCGATATGACACATGAGTCGCAACAAGTTGTGTTGTTGGAACGATTAGCCAGGATCACTGCCACGACGGGAATAAATCTTGACCGGGAGACTAAGGCGCTACAAGCATCGTGGAACATGGCGCGATATGAGGAGGAATTTGACGATGAAGCTGATATATGATTTCATAACTATACCCACAAAACGCCGTTTACTTTCTATTACATCATGTGCCCGTTTATTTTCAACTTCACTCCATGTCATAAGCAAATGGAATACTTTGCATCGCGCCCCGACGCTGCACACACATGGCCGCAGCAGCATTAGCCACCGAGACAGCTTGTTCGATCTCCTCAAACTCGTCCAACCCCTTCCCAGTAGCAAGGAACCGCGCCACAGCAGTCGAGAAATACCCAACGAAAGTGTCCCCTGCCGCAGTGGTATCAATGACTTGAGCAACCTTCACACCAGCAACAGTCCCACACTTCCCAGCGCGAGTAGAGAAATAAACACCCTTAGCACCAAGCGTAATAAGAACAACCTCAACCCCAGCCATTTCATGGAACTTCCCCGCAAACTCAGCAGGATCAAACTGATCTTCATCAACACAAACATCCCCCAGAACAGGAAGCCCAGCAATCGACCTCGCCATCTGCACAACCTCCGTCTCATTCATGATCAAAACAGCCGTACCATGCAACGCAGAAAGTGGAATGCCTTCAGGGAAAACAGGCGCCGGGTTAAAAACAACCCTGGCCTCGCCGCTCCCAGTCTTCCCATTAAAATACTCCAACAAACCCACAGTCGTCTCCCGCGGAATCTCACCCTGCAAAACAACAACCTCAGACCGTTGCGTAACACGAACAATCCCATCCACATCGCCCATCAATCCACCGTGATTCGCACCAGGAACAACAAGAATTCGATTCTCCCCACTCCCCTCTTCAACAATAATACTTGCAGACCCAGTCTGCGCAGTAACAGATTGTTCAATCGATCCCGTGTTAACACCCGATTTCTCCAGTGCTGGCTGAAGGAGCGTGGTATAGTATGGATCATCGGCACCGACGCTGCCAATCATGCTCACGGTTACATCTTGTTTCTCTTTTGATGTATATGAGGCGCGGCCTGCTGCTACGGCTTGGTTGCCGCCTTTTCCGCCCGCTAGCACGCTCAACGAGGTTGCTGTGAGCGTCTCTCCTGGGCCTGGGCAGCGGGGGGTCGCTGTTACAAAGTCGATATTTAGGGAGCCAATTATTGTTATGTGTGGGTTTTGGGGTGGCATTTTGGCTTTGGAGGTTTGTTTTGGATGTTTGAAAGCTGTTGGTAAACTTTGGTGGTTGTGGTAAGTGTATTCGTGGTAGTTGCTTTATGTGTAGATTGGTTGGACTCGGAGATTGAGTAAGAAAGAAGAATTGAACCTCAAAGGTCAGAAACATGCGATGCCGACCTTTCTTATTTTTTCGGCATCTTGCCCCGTCGGGATGGTTCTATACTTACCGATATCCTGTCTAGATTGGGAGGGCGTAGGCTCTGTACCCCCAAAGGGGTTAGACTGGCGCAGATGAACGCCCAATAAGGTTTAGCGCGGGGAACCTCCCAAAAAAGTTTCTTCGTTCGATGAGTTCAGTGGCACGAGGTATACGATTTGTATACTGATAATGCAAACAGGGAAAGGTTAAGATGGGCCGGAATAGAGCTGTCTTGCTACTTTCCGCACGCCTGCTTTCGGTTATTTCTCATGGACTAGCAGAGAGGTTCGCTTTTTTACGTGCTCTTTGCCCTGAGGCTACCATCCTGTTGTTCTAGTTGTTTAACGCTTGGCTTGAATTGCCCGCCTTGTAACTATCAGGCTCCTTGGCCCAAGGTTGTGTAAATCTACCCCGATCAATATTAATGAGTATGCTTTACTCATCTCCTCGTCCCATATATCAACCGAGTAAGTAGAATTATATACAAAACCTGTCGTCTTAAACGAATGATCTATTAAAAATACACAACATAAACCGCTTCACAACGAATACGGCTCCACCTAAGGAGGGCCGATCCAATCAAATCTCACATTCCATTCATCCACATCAATCAAGAGCTGGCATTAAGCTCACTGAGAATTTCATCAGCAGCCTTCTCGGCAACCATGTAGGTAGACACAGCCGTGAAAGTACCCGGAATCTTGGGGTAAACGGAAGCATCAACGACACGGAGACCCGAGACACCACGAACACGGAATTTGGAGTCCAACACAGCCATAGGGTCATCATCAGCACCAATGGGGCAAGTGCAAGAGGCATGGTGACCCCAAGCGCCATCCTTGACATATTGCTCAATATCCTCCTTGGACTGGACGTCAGCACCGGGGAGAACTTCCGTAATATTGACGAGCTGGCGCTTGAACGCGTCACGGGCGAGCTCGACGGCGTCGTAGAGAGCAGTGAGATCGGCTGCGTAGTCGCCGACACCGGTGTCGAAGTAGTTGAAGGTGATCTTGGGCATGTCCAGGGGATCGGCGGACTGCAGGGCAACAGTGCCGGCAGTGTTGCGCGGGTGAGCTTTGAGGATGGCCCAGGTGAACCAGTTGTGTTCGTCTGTGGCGTTAATGCTGTAGTCGGGGAAGTAGCCGCGGAAGTTGACGGGTCCTCCGAAGCAGAAGATGTCGAAGTTATCGTCGGTTGTGGTACTCTTGTAGAGCATGGTGGCAGCGAGACCGGGGGATGAGTAGATACCGCGGTCACCGAGAATGGGAGTCTCCCAGCGGTTGATGCAAGGGTCTTCCTGGTCGCGAATGCTGAAGGTGCATTTGTCTAGGCAGGAGAAGTCCTCCTCGATCTTGCCCTGCACTGAGATCTCGTAGTGGTCCTGGAGGTTGGTGCCGACACCGGGGAGATCCTTGATGACTTCGATTCCAAACTTCTTGAGCTCATCGGCGGGACCGATACCACTCAATTTGAGGATCTGGGGAGAGTTGTACACTCCGCCGGCAACAATAACCTCACGAGAAGCAGTGGCGGAACCGGGGATACCGGCGAGAGCCGACTTCGACATTGGGCTGGCCCTGTAGAGGTGCTCGCCATCGAGGAACTCGACACCGGTGGCACGGGGCGGGGTGCTCTCATCGAAGGTCACTTTGGTGACGTGGGTGTTCATGCGGACATCTAGAGGGTACTTCTTGGAGCCATCGTCATTCTTGGCATCCCGGACAGCGATAATGAATTCGCGAGGACCATTGCGGTGGGCATCATCAGTCGCGATAGGAATTTGATAGTAGCCAGGCTCGGTGTCACGGGTTTTAGCATCAGCATTGGTGTCGCCAGCCAACAGAGTGCCAATATTTATGATGTTATCGGTGAGGTTACCGAGAGCAAAAGCACCGCCGGTGAGCATACTCAAGAGCTGGGGGTCCTCCAAGACAATGCTAAGGGGCGCCGTCTCGGTCGACAGCCAGCCATCGTAGCCGTGACCCTTAGCTCCGGGAAGCAAGTAACCATTCTTTTCCATCTTGGTGAAGTACTTGCGCATGTTGTCAGGTGTCCAAGAGCTATCGCCGGTAAGGGTCGAGATGAATTCGAAGTCAGACTGGTGGGGATAGACTGCAATCAAGGCGTTATGAGCAGTGCATCCACCGAGAGTACCTGTCCGAGGATAGAGGGTTCCCTTCATGGTCGAGTTCTCTGGAGGATTCAGGCCAGTGTATAACTCGCCGTCAGGTGTTTCGTAGCTCGTTTTCCAATCGCGAGCCTGGCGCTCTTCATCTTCGTAGTGATGCACGAAGAAGTTCCAGGAAAGCTTCTCGTCCTCGGAGGCTCTGGCCGAGTAAGCAGGGATGGTATAATTGTAAGTTTCACCCTGATCATCACCAGCCTCAAGGAGAAGGGTCTTGTGGCCAGCCAAAGCGAGGCGGGCAGCCAGAGGGCCACCACCAGCACCGGATCCAACAACGACATACTCATAACCGGTGATGTTGACGGCCGTGCTCAAGCCGGCCGTGGCGACCAGCAGGCCGAACAAATGGGAAAGAATCATAATAATAAAGAGTGACTATGGGTGAATTGCGATTTGCATGCAGGGATACCATCACGGGTTTTATACCAAGTGTCTTTTCCCCTGAGACTGGATAACTCGTATGCATTGTGCGTTTTCTCAAAAGCCGTTGAAGAAATGCCGCGGCCTCAACTAGCTCGTGGAGATCTACGGTAATTGTACCCACAAACAGCTTGAGACACCTGAGCCTAGTATGTTTACGGTGGAAATTCCCGAACGATCTTCGCAACTTTACATTCGGACTCCGCAGCGTTACCTGCCACCCCTGCTGATCGCGAAGGGCTCCACATACCTCGGGGGTTTCTCCTTTTAGCACAAGTTTCCTTCATTTCGCCAAGCCCTGTGGAGATTTCAGGGGGTTCATTGTCATTGCCGTTACGGAGTCCGGAGGCTCGTTTACTACACCGTCTTTCTACACCACAATGCCCTTCAGTGCTTTATTGTAGCTAGTGATCTCAGAATTTTGAGCCCTGTCATAGAGTTTATACATTTAGGCTTACACGTAGCTATTTAAGTGGAACTCCCTGGGTCCGTCCTTGCAACGGTTTGACAGATTTAACAGTGGAATACGTTTCGCTCTCGCTCCGGGTTCACCAAGTGGATACAACATCACCAAGGCAGGCCCCAGTTCTCGACTTAGCATCGGTCTCTTTGCGTTCCTTGATTTTCTCTTCTATTCATTGGCAGAGAATCTTCCTTACAGAACCGTCACTTAGGAAAATGCCTCGGGCTCTTTTCTTATTGTAGTTTTTACAAATAGCTTTGCTATCTTAGAGCTTAGTGAATAGTCCGGTAGCTACGGTCTAAGCATAATTATTGTACCGAGAAAGAGCTAGAAAGCAACAAGCTATGTTGGCACTCTGTTTCAATCGACTGTGGTTCAGGTTGGGTTGGCCCTCACCCCCGGGTGTGAGCATTCTCGCTGTTCGATAAAACAAGCAAAAGCAGAAACGAGAGTGCGAAAAAAAAAACCACAAAAACATACAACAGTAAGGATTCGCTAGTGGTCACCCACCTAACTACTAACTTACCGGCGTGTGGCTTAAGTACGGCTGAGCGGACGGGAAGCCCTGTTCTCCACACCCTGTGGTCGTATGTACTTGTTTTAAGTATTAGAACGAATTATATAGGATGTAGACTTAGACAGGCTATATAGATCGGGTGGTTTCCTCGTAGTCACACACCTAACCACTTTGCTACGTGTGGCTTATATACGCTCGATAGTCGGGTGGGTGTCGCCCGGGTGAGTTTAGGGTGAGCGCCGCTCTGAAGTTGCGCGACCGGGGGCGGGAAGGGCGAGTGCGCTATAGATAGGGTGAGAATTAGGGTAAGAATCACCCAAGTCGCGCCGACCACTGCACTAACTAGACCTGGCTGTGACCCGCGGGTCACCCGCATTACCCTCGCACCGAACCGCCCGCGGGGCGGATTTGCGGCCTAACCTTGGACCCTCGAAGGGTCCTCAAACAAGACAAATAGCTTAGTCTCGTCACTTACATAAGTTATGTAGATTTGCCCTGTATTCTTGAGTATTCTATTTACTATGAGTAATGCAATTGCTATTACTCAAATATATATTTTGGAAACAAACATATATGAATCTACAATACCTTACATTAGCTGGCTACCTGTAGTCAAAAGCGATAAAAAGTTTGATAATACGGCATTACTTCTATTTATTTTCATGTATACAGATGAATTACTATCAATTTATTACAAGTTCGTGGTGCTTTAATAGCTATTCGTGCCAGTCTTATGGAATCCCCTCCTGCACATATCGTGCTGTGCTCCCGCTGCCTGAAATTGAGTTCGCCACCACTAGTTCCGACGGTTCTAGTCAAATATCAAAGAGCTTAGTATTCTTCCATGAGCGGCGCAATCACTCCTTATATCTATCTGTGCACATGTATTTCTATGCGGCGGATGAAGGAATGATACTCCAAGCGAATAATTTGCTAAGGTGTCTACTGTACAGGGTAGAGGGCCTATCAGTCAGGCAGGGAAGAAGAACCAAGTCAGATTGTGGCGAGAGGGTTTCTTGAGGAACCCTTAAGAATCGATGTCGTATCATTCTATTTAGGTCACCGTCTTCCTCTTGAAACCCCCATCTCTTGTTCAACATGATTTGAAATCAAATACGAGGACAAGGCCTCTTGCGTAACAAACAAGGAGGGAGAACACGGATTTGTGTAACATGAGGGAGGGGGATATGTGAATATGTGATGAACAGGCCTTCCCGATTCAGTACAGATCACCCGGTGAATAGCTGCCGTTTCACCAAAGACCCCATGTCAGCTGGGAATAGCTTCATGAAAGATAAGGCCGTAACATAATTCTATCTAGCTGCGTCCTTTTCTCTAACGTCAATTATTCGACTCCACGTCTTACATACTTAAAGGGTGTCACAAGACCACTAAACCTTCCACTGGCTTTCTTTCTCAAACCAGCAGTGAGACCACTTTAAGACGTATCATGCTTATGCTAGGGTCCTACTGAATGGTCTGAAGATCTACATGCAGTGACACTACAGAATACGAATTAGTGGTCAGCTTGCCGAAACAAACCTTATCTTGCAGTGCAATGCCTCAATACCTAATTAGATACAACTATCGAACCTTGATCCCTAGCTATCCATACAGTATTAGTCAGCGTACAAGGAGCACTACGAAGTACCGGAGGTCAAATACTTATGATACACCACTGTATATGGCCAGCCTTGCCATTCGATGTATTAGATGTCCTATGATCGCTGCCACCAGACGGCCACACGGAAGGGGACGGCTTCGTACAAGGTACTAAGACAATCAGGTAACCTCCTTTCTTGCCTCAGAGTTAGAGCTCATAACCCACTGCAAAAAGTCAATACAAAAGATGTCTAGTTCAGACCAATGCTCAGTCGCCCTGTAGTGGGGCACTATGTCTCTTTCGATCCACTTAGCTTTACGCATATAGTCTGTATGTGTGCTCATCCAATCATGCCTTACGCTGCGAGACTTGGCACGCCTATAATTGGCTCATCCTAGCGAACATGCGTCTGACACGCCTTACAGTATCGAAAACAAGCGTTCGACGTTCATGTTTTCACTTAACTCTGCGTCACTTTCCCACCTATTTCGTTTCAGGGCCACAGCATGCGGAGCGCGCGTCACCAGTGGTTTTGCGTGAATAGTCTGCGGGACGCTAGGTATTAGGAAGTGCACATGACTTGGCGATCTCGCAGTTCCTAGGAGCTTGGGGCCCTCTCAAGCTGCGGACCCCAGGAAAAGTCGGTTGCTACACTGGAAACCAATGCGTGATTTTCGCCATGGCAGCAACAAAATGCGATCTCGTATATTTTCCTTTCAAACACTTGAAAGCCGGCAGCAGGAGCCTCTCGAAGTGATACTGTCAAAATGTGTTTTTCAAGCCGTAGGACCTCGCTGGCTGTCCCGTGCTGCGCTTACTGGAGTGTCCTGGCTTGATTCGATCTAGTTCCTGGAAACGTGCCGATTCCACCCCACACAGTACCAACAGAATGATCATCATGGGCTGCGACACAACAGCTTCTTCACCCAATATTGGAACTGCAGATTCAGACCGAAAATCTTTCCTGCTTCCTTGTTGTGTGTTGTTTTATGGCCTTAAATCTTGAATAGAGTTCGATAGTGTCACATGAGGTCGTAAATAGTTTCGCTGCTTGCAGGTATTAATCTTGTCGCAGCCAGTGATACATCACGGCAGCACTCATTCATAAGATCGAGGACGTAGCAGCGAACTATTCAAGAAAAAGTCCACACGACTATCTTCTATCTTCCGGCGGAACCAGGCAGCTGACTTTTCCGAAACCAACACTACTTTTCGCATTATCAACATGCATCTTATTACCATGTTCCTTGCTTTGGCTCCAGTTCTGGCTGTGCCTTTCAATGCTGGCGGCAACGGTGGCAGCAACGGTGGACCCGTTTGCAATGCAGGCCTGCTCTATACCCAAGCACAGTGTTGCAAGACTGGTGTACTTAACCTGGCGGACCTTGACTGCAAGTCCTCGCGTGAGTAAACAAATGAAACTTTGCTTTGCCTTCCGCCAAAATTCTAAACGATTTCTCGCTAAGCTCGATCCTACAACGGCCTGGACGATTTCAAGGCTGGTTGTGCCTCTGATGGCCGAGCTGCTAAATGCTGTTCTATCCCCGTCGTAAGTTTCCAACCCGAAGTTGTATATGCTCAATTGTATTAACTCTAAAATTTTAGGCCGGTCTCGGGTTGGTTTGTAATGACGTGGCCTGAGTCATTATGACAGGTGAAGAACTAGAAAGTACAAGAAGATTGGGGGCACTAGCCACATAGAAACTGGCGAGCGAGCCTGTTGCCAACGAAAAAGGAGAGCAAACATTAGCAGCGTATTTATAGTCACATCTTCATGAGATGTTTTCATAGTCTTTTGCGAAAGTTCATCGCTGAACCAGAAGCTCCATGTGAAAGAATTCCATGGTGCCAAACGCCGTAGAACTGCTGCCTTAGGCTCTGAAAATTGAAAGCTTTCCTCTGGTGTTGATACAGTTGCCGCACTTGCTACTACCGTTGGGAAAGTGGCAGATATTTGGATACCCACCAAACCGGCCGATATTTTCAGCATAACCGACACAGATTGCAGGCCTTGAGATATCAACACGTAGGGTTTCTGTGACTTCATCGTACCCGGGGAAATTCTTGAGATAGTACGCACCTAAGTTTCCAACTCGAGGCTCGCGGGAGCTCCACGTTCCGCCAACAAAGCGGACAAAGCAGGGACGTGAGGAATATTAGCCACAACAGGCGTGCCGGAGGTCTCAGCCTTCACAGGTCCATTAGAACGAACGGCATAAAACACAGTCATCTCATCTCTTGGCAATCTCATCATGAACAAGCATTACCTCGTTAGCAGTCTTAAGTTATATTGATCAATGCATCTATTATTGATACATTTCTGTGAACCTGAGCGCTTCAAAAGCCGAGACTGCTCGTAATCTATTGAGTTGAAGCTGCGGGGCAGAATTTCACAAAGCAGGTAAACATCGGGTTGACAGGGCCTACTGAGGTGGATGTTTGGTTCAAATTCAAATGATTGATTCAGTTTAAACCCTGAGCGATGATTCATTTGGGCAGAGCGGCGTAGAAGGGGGCAGGGAGACATTTGGGGATGAGTTGGGTGGTTATGAAATAGCAACTTTTTTCACATTTAATCCGATCCAAGAGCGTCTGTGTCGGCCTTGCCTGCTGAGGATGCCTGTGCTGCTGCAAACATCTATCAATTTTACGAGCTCTGCCTCCAACTTTGCGAGGCTTTTGGCAAACAACTTTCAGAAGCTCATGGCGCAGACATACAGCCATGAGGCCGTTTTCTACACGTCGGTCTCAGACTTAAAGTCTTTACCTAGTTTTTCTTCTTCTCACGGCGATACCAATGCATTAACAGAGTGGCCCTATATTCAAATTCAACTCAGACAACACTTCACCACCCCTTTGATCTGTTGCCGAGTACACCCACCTGTGCGTTTGGGTTTGTGCTCAGCTTTTGTTTCCAGACAGAATATTGCACACCCTTTTCAAATATAAGTTTCAGTTTGTTACCGTCTTCTTTTTACAAGATAGTCGAGGCGGAGTTCATAAGTGTTGCCATATTGATGGGGTGCGCCAAGATGTTCTTATCACGTGTTAGTCAACGCACGGAGAGGTGAAAATCTACCATTACTTGGGTGCGCATTCGAACCTACTTCTATTCAAGGGCATTTGTTAGCGGAATGCGTGGCCTGCATCATGTCATTTGATACTAGCAGGGAACCAGCCCCAGACGATATTGAGATGCTAACCAGACCACGCCCTCGTGTTCGAAGTGGCTGTCTGACTTGTCGCAAAAGAAAGGTCAAGTGTGACGAGCAGCGGCCTCACTGTCACAATTGCACCCGGCTAAGGCGGACCTGTATCTATGTGGTGTCAAATTCGCCCGGCCGAGGCGCAGATTACCGAGGCGGCCCCGATAATTTGATAAGGAAAGAGACAACTAATATCGCTGCGGAAGGTACTGTGATGCCAACTACACCATCTGGCGGCTTGTCGTTGCAATCACCATCACATCTCGCTCTTGTAGGGACTGAAACATGGACAACGCCTTTGCACCTGCTTGGATTTGGCACAGACGGAGATTTCTCAGTCCAAGATCAGTCGGGGGCTTTCGGGTTACTCGGAAGCTCAGCCAGTCCCACGCTGCCATGGTCGCACATAGCACTCTTCGACGAAGCTTCATTACGCCCAGCGCCATCTTTAACCCCTGTTATGAACGATACCACGCCGTCTTCGTACTTCCTAGAGCAGGTAGACCCACCGTTCATTGCCAACTTTGATGATATGAACTGGAAAACAATGAAACGATACATGATCGAACTAGGTTGCCATAATGTCACCGTTTCGCGGGCAATATCTGCTGTCGAGTCGCTCTATGAGACGAAGATGAACTGCAAAGATCCTATGAGTTCAATGGCATCTTATTATGTCGCAAAAAGTAGCTATGCCAGCATGCTAGAGCGGGATAGTGATGGGCCTGAGATTGTCTTGGTCGTGACCTTCCTGCTATGTTGTTTCGAAATTGTGGCACAACACGAGACCGTGCCAATTACTCTAAAGCCCGAAGGCCCTCTAGTGGACAAGCTGGAAGCCTGGGCGGACAACACAACATATGTGTGGTCTCCAGTGCTTCGCCGTCTTCAAGCCTGGTTCCAAATTCTTCACGCAAGGACGATGCATCTTGGTGGACCTGGACTTTTGTCTCCGAAGGTGGGCAGGCTTTTGAAATGTGAGTGCCGAGGTCCGACGCCTGGCCTTGGTCAACTTGGAAACCAAGCTCTCTGCCCTGAACAAGCAATTCTAGGCGATCTCTCTAACCAACTGTTTGAGTTTTACTTGGAGATATCGATGGTCAGTACTCAGATTGCGAGTCTGAATCGCCATCATCGCTCGCGAGGGTTTCAAGCAGACGAGAGAGAAGTTCAAAATGTGGCAGAGGAGCTTCAAGAAATTCTTCTTCACTTGTGGCAAAGGCGGCCGTCATTGCTACGGGTAGACAGGGATCAGTTGCAAAACAAAATATGGCCGGGATTGAGAAGTTCGATTGGTCGACTCGTTGACCTGTGCAGTGTGGCATTTTCCGCCGAGATCATATATCTGGGTCGTGCCTACGGAAAATGCTCTACCGCATCGACGGAGTCTTTGGAAGCCATGAGACAAATACACCGCATAGTGGACTCCCACTCTTGTGAACATTCTGCAGTGGATCCCGGTTTCATATGGCCGTTATTTATTTATGCTGTCGAGCATCCAGAACCAGAGCAAAGTGGGTGGGCGGTCAGGACTTTGCGCAAGGTCAAAAATCCAGTCTGGCACAGTGAGCTCGTGTCAGACCTTGCCCAGGGCATAAGTGAGGAGCAGCTTAAGCAGGCCCAGAGGGTGGATACTAGATACTTCTGTCTCAAGCACTTCAGCACCCCGCCACCATTTATCTAGACTATATATACTTATGTAGCATTATAAGACCAACCAAAGAAAAGGATGGTTCGGAAGGAGAGACGAAAAGGAGCATTCATGATGTACTCGATTCTTAAAGACATTGGCTCATAAGTGCACCTTCGGTTGTAGCCGCTTGAATTCTTGTCAGAGGACGTCTGAGACATAAACTCTTCCTTCAAAGGCGGCCAGGCTAGAGTGGTCAACCACTTGTGAACGAGTACTTAGTGCGAGGTTAGATGGCTTCAACCTGGGGTAAGATGATGGAAGCGACCACCGTTGAGGCTGGTCGCTCAGGTTCGCAACCGTAAATAAGACTTTGCCATCGGTGTCTTCCTTGATGAAGGTCAGTACATCTTCATGTTGCTCAATCGGCTGGAATCGCCCATAAATTGCGAGCCCCTTGTACTGCTTCCTGAATCGAATCACGGTCTTCCAGAACTCGAGGACACTTCCTTTTTTGCCATTCTGACTGGTAACATTGATTTCACGATAACTGTCCAACACGCGCATCCATGGAGTGACGGAAGCAGCGCAAAAGCCTGCGTTGGCGGAGTCGTCCCATTGCATTGGCACTCTGGCATGGTCTCGGGCAACCTTTTGAAGTGCATTTAACGCTTCTTTCAAAGCCGCGGGATCACCACCTGTCTGTCGCCGAATTTTGTTGTAATGGTTGACCGAGCGAATACATTTGTACTCTTCAACAGGGTAGGAAGACGGTGCGTTAACCATACCAATTTCCTGACCTTGGTATAGAAAGAGGGTGCCCGTCATCGTTCCAAGCACCAAGGCCAACATCTTGGCTGCTTGGATGCGATAGGCCGGGTCATCTGATAGAAAACGAGAAACAGATCGGCCTTGGTCATGGTTCTCAAGAAAAACCGTCGTCCAGGCATCCGTGTCCCGAATCACATTTTGCCACTTGGTCAGCTCTCGCTTGAAGTCTTTCTTGGTAAAATTCTGCAGTCTGAAGCGATCACCTGGGGTTTGACCAAGATATACCGTATCAAAGTTGAAAACCATGTCGACTTGCTTTGCTTGAGCCGAGATAAATCGCATCACGTCGGATTCATCCGGAGTATTGGGCAGCTCTCCTACAGTGAAGACGTCGTACTCATCGAGTACCGCTCGCATTTCCGAAATATATTCGTGGATGCGCGGCCCATTTGTGAAATTGTGGAAGGCCAGCTGGGTCTCATCGGCAGGGTCGGTAACGGGAGCATCCACAAAGTCCACACGCTTGGAATAGCGATTCACAGTGTCAACGCGAAAGCCATCGATGCCCTTATCGAGCCAGAACCTGATCGCTGTGTCGTAGAGGGCGCGTCGACAATCCGGATTCTCCCAATTGAGATCGGGCTGCTCGGGCGCATAGATATGGAAGTAATACTGTTGGGTCTTTTCGTCCCAGCTCCAGGTCGGGCCTCCGAAATTGCTTCGCCAGTTGGTTGGAGCATGGCGCTTTCCTGCCGCATCATATCGGGCGGGGCGCCAGATGTACCAGTCTCGCTTGGGGGAGTCGACTGATGACCGCGACTCCTCAAACCAGGGGTGGAGATCCGACGAGTGATTGATAACGAGGTCGAAGATGATTTTCATTCCCAGGGCATGAGTCCGCTCTATGAGGGAGTCAACGTCTTTCATTGACCCGTAAGGTTCGTGAATCTTCTGGTAATCGGCGACATCGTACCCCATATCGACTTGCGGGCTCTTGTAGTGAGGACTGACCCAGATGATGTCCACTCCTAGGTCCCGAAGGTAACCCAGCTTGGAGATGATGCCAGGGATATCACCGATTCCGTCATTGTTGGAATCTTTGAAGCTGGAAACATAGATTTCATACACCACACTTTCTTTCCACCACTTGGGCTCGTGATATCGCACCTGGTGTGGCATAGTCGTAAAGTTTGGTGTTTTCTTTGTTGATTGGGGTTGGTTTGAACTGTAAGTATCTCGCAATCCAACGTTACTCCCGTTCATTTAAATGCCTATGAGGTTCCTGGGATTTAGTGGCTACTGGGAACTAGCGAGCGATCGCCGATGGGATATTCTAGATTTTCTAACCCTCGCCGATCGGCTCGCTATGTTGGCGATCGGTACAAGATTTAATTGCGTGCATTGGCCTTGGCGGTAGTTTAATCGTCTAACGTGGTTCATCTGATTGGCTGTTTTAGCCGTCATATAGAACCCTCAACCCTCGGTTTTTTTCCTCCGCGTCCGATTTGCTGGGAACTCTGCCTTTCCCCGGATTAGTTGCCCCAGGCCACATGAGGACCTAGATCTGCGTCGTACATAAATACCACCGTGGGAGTCATCATTCGTAGCCAAAGAATTCGAGAAAAATTGAACTAAAATCGATTGTTTCCGAAAATGACGACGACTCATATTGACAATACGGCTACGTTCCCGAAACACCGAGACACCCTTTTGGATGAAGCTCGTTGTGCCACCCACAGCGAACATGAGCTCACCTTTCTGCGGGCCCTCCGGCTATATCCCAAGGCAGTCGCATGGTCCATGTTTCTGTCTCTAGCCATCATTATGGAAGGCTACGACATGAAGCTCGTGGGTGCCCTTTTTGCTCAACCTGCTTTCCAGAGAAAATACGGCCAGCAGTTGGCGGATGGCACATATGGAATCAGCGCTGCTTGGCAAGCTGGCCTATCCAATGGTGCTTCGGTTGGGTCGCTCATGGGCCTTCTCATCAACGGTTATCTGTCGGAACGATTTGGATTTCGCAAGACGATGCTGGCCTCGTTGGCTTTCATTACTGCTACGATATTCATCCCCTTCTTTGCTCCAAGTATCGAGGTATTGCAAGTTGGCCAGGTTTTAATGGGCATTCCTTGGGGCATCTTTCAGACCTTGACTACTTCATACGCCGCCGAAGTGACTCCGACCCATCTTCGTGCTTATCTCACCACCTACGTGAACCTCTGCTGGGTAAAGCTGCCCCGCCCCTTTTCTCTCTGTCGGTTGGTGAAGGAGTAAGATGAAAAGCATGAAATGATAAAGCTAATCATCTGAATATTAACAGGTTTTTGGGCAGCTACTCTCCGCCGGTGTTCTGCGAGGAGTACTCACGCGATCTGACCAATGGTCTTATCGCATCCCCTTTGCCCTGCAATGGGTATGGCCAATTCCGTTGATGATCGGAATAGTCTTCGCCCCTGAATCGCCATGGTGGCTTGTTCGCAAGAATCGCTTGGAGGAAGCCAAAGCGGCTCTCCTCCGATTAACATCGCCCGGCCGTATTGAGTTTGACGCCGACCAAGCCATTACACTAATGGTAGTGACGACAGAGAACGAGCGGGAATCTGGCACAGGGACTCGCTATATCGATTGCTTCCGCGGCGTGGATCTACGCCGCACCTCGATTTCCTGTTGCTGCTGGGGTATTCAAATCTTATCCGGCACGGGTCTACGCATCTACTCCACCTACTTCTACCAGCAAGCAGGACTCCCGACGGAGCAGGCCTTCACCATGTCTATTGTACAGTATGCCCTCGGCATCGTCGGCGTGTTTGTAGCCTGGATTTCGCTACCACGGTTTGGCCGACGGACCATTTACCTCTGGGGCTTGGCCATTTTGGCAGTGGTCTTGCTGGTGATTGGCGGTCTAGGTGTCGCCGAGTCTCGATCCCCGTCCCCAGCGGACAGCAGCGGTAGCAGCCGGCTTGCCTGGTCCATCGGATCTATGCTGATTGTATACACGTTCTTCTACGACGTCACGGTCGGCCCAGTCTGCTACTCACTTGTAGCGGAGATCCCTTCTGTCCGTCTCCGCAGCAAGTCGATCGTGCTTGCACGTATGACATATAATATCCTTAATATTATCAGCAACATCATCACACCATACATGCTGAACCCGTCGGCATGGAATTGGGGTGCGAAAGCAGGCTTTTTCTATGGTGGCACTTGTGTTTTATCTTTGGTCTATACCTATTTCTGTATTCCTGAACCCAGTGGTCGGACCTATGCAGAGCTAAGCATCCTGTTCCAGCGAAACCTCTCAGCTCGGAGTTTCGCCAAGACACATGTCGATCTAGCCGAGGCGAGACCGTTGGAGATGGATTCCCCTAAGAACGACTGAGTTATCGGCAAACGGCGTCGGTTATATTTTTGCTGACGGGCCTCAATTTATTCAAGAATATGAACTAGGTAGATGTTGCTGGGTTCTATGAGATACACATTGTTTAAGATTAGCTGGCAAATCTAAGTATCAAACACCAATAAATTAAAAGCCAAAGGGCACATTTACAGTATCAAATAATCATTCAAGATATGATGTATGTTATCCCTCTATTTTACCATATATGCTTTTGTCTGAAATGCATAAGCTACAGGATCGAAGGGGCTAAATGAAGCGACCGCGGCCAGCTTCTCATGGGCGTTCCAGACCTCCAGGAAATTACTATGTCACTCAAGTCATACGCAATGTCCACGGGGGAAAGGGGGTTCATAGTGGCAAGCGTATATAATGTCAAAGCGACCGAGTGCTTAGGGACACAGAAATCTGCTATGATCGTCCTTTCGAGAGCCGTCCACCCATATTTGGTTTAGTGCCTTTAATTGGGAAAATATTAGAAGGATTCAAACATAAGACAGATCCTCGGTTGGGCGTTGCAAGGCTTTTAAGGTCTAAACTCATAGAAACCCAAGCAAAAATACCAGGAGTTTAGGGATTACAGTAACAACGTAAAAAGCCTGAGGTTAGGCTCGTGATAACACGCTTGAGGCAGATCCCGTGCCATAGCTCTAGAGCATTCCCTAGCATACATTACACCTTTTAATCAATCTTGGTATGTAGTAAAGGAAACATAGCAAGTTCTTGGCCCTACGTCGATATTAGATGAGCATCTACATAAAGTCCATACGACTCCTTCAAATCCCCGTTTCCATCATTTCAGGGCTACAGCTCGCGATGCACGCGTCTCCCAGTACAGTACAATTTAGCATAGATTCGCTAGGAAGGAACTCGAATTAGCTAAGCTTGTACG